TCACTCTAATTTTGCTACTGTTATGAATCGTCATGTATATATCTGATCTGCAGGATATATTTTCATTGTTTCAAACTGAACATAATTAAAGCATAGTGATGAATCACAACAACAATATGTAATTATGTATGTGTTTTCCGATGGTCTTAGGCAACTCCTGTGAAAGGGTCATTCGACCGCCAAAGGGGTCGCGACCCATAGGTTGAGAACCGCTGCCTTAAGGGGTCCTCTGCCACCCTGGGCCTCAGTTTCCATGTCAATAGGGGGACAGCCCAAAACATGAGCACCTCCCCACTGCCACGCGCCCTGGGGCCGCTCACCTGCTCCGGAAGCTGGGCAGCCCCCAGCAACTGCAGGGTCTCCAGGTGGGAATGGAAGAGGGGGCTGGGCTGCAGGTGGCCACCCAGCTTGCACTCGATTATGTAGCCCACAGTGCAGTCGTCAGGGAGCCGGATGAGCGCAGATGTGTCCACGAAGCGGGGGCCACTGAGGGGTAGAGCCGTGCTATGGCCACTGGCCTGGACCCTTGACACCTAGAGCCCACCCTGCTTCCCAGAAGGCTCTCCTGGGACCAGCTGGCAGAGCAGAGCCTCCTGCATACCATGTGACCTGGACTGTTGCTTAAGACCTTCCTGCTGGAAAGTCCTCATGCATACACCAAGCGCCACGTGCTCTCAGCAGCCTCCATCCTCCCCCACCAACCTGGGCGTCTCTGCTTACCTGGCCCATGGGGCCATCTTCAAAGCCAGTTTCCGGTTGATGCAGAAGCCAGCACCCCCAGTGGCAAACCAGAACTGGACCAGCCTCTAGGGGGAGAGGAGGGAAGTGAGCCTGGTAAGAGGGGGCGGTGGGGTGGGGGCAACAGCCAGGACGCCCCTCACCACCAACTAGCATGGCGCCAAAGCCTTTTAACTGACACTTCACTGGAGTCTTGCTACAGCCTACCATTATTATGCCCTTTTTATAGATAAGAAAACTGAGGCCCAAAGTCACATCGCTAATCAAGGGTCTAACCAATTAGGCCAGTTAATTGGTTGGATTCCAGTTTAAAAGGGCAGGTGTGCTCTCTGTGTGCCCTGCACACCGTCCCCCCTTCCCCAGGGAAATGTCTTCACCTTCCCCCATGTGGTTTGAGAGGGGCTACCAAGCACGGCACCTGCTCCCCTCCGTCACAGAGGTGGGCAGGAATGATCACAGGGCCACACCTCTTGACAAGGTGATTGGCTCAGCAACAGGCACATCACTTAAGCCAACCAATCAGAACCCTTTCCTGAGCTTTCTATGCAACTGAGGAAGAGATGTTTTCGCCAGGCTCGCAAGCTGTAACCCTGATGCCACCTGCTTGGGGACACATACACCTACTGCTCCTGCCACTCCGATCCCCTGGGACCAAGAGCGCTTTTCCACAAAAGAGAGAATGAGACTCACTGAGTAAAGAGAACAGGCAGGCCTGTGAGCCCCTGGGGCCAGAAACCCCTTGGCATCTCCATCTCTGGTACCAATCACATCCCTTTGGGACTTGAACCCCTTCCCGCCCCTGCCCAGCATCACCAAGGCCTCCTCTAGCTCCTCTGCGAGGCCCCGGGAGTTCACCCTGGAATTTCTCTAAGGCTTTTGAGAAACACTGGACCCTTTGAGCTGTACCATCCCTTGGTCAAGCCAATTCCCTAAGGTTGCCTTCTCCCACGTACACAGTTGTTGCTTCATTGATGCATGTGGCATGGGGTTGCACCTCCCATGATGCAGCCGTGAGAAGAAGCCTCAGCAGGGAGTTGGGAAGCCTGGGTCCCCTGTTTCCCCCACTTTAAGAAAGTCACTGCCCTTCCCTGGGCCTGATTTGTCACCTGTGAGCACGACACTGGCTCTAAGTTCTAAATTGGACGGTTCCCCTGGCCCGGAGCATCCTCCTAAAACCTCTGTGAGCCGACCTTGGGGAACACTGCCCTCCTACAGGGAGGTCAGGGCCCAACAAGGCGGAATGAATGGCTTCTGAAGGACCTAACACACAGGAGGTGCCCAATAGATGCTTGTTTAATGAACTGATGGTAATTATAGTCACACCAGCAGTAACACTGTAACCGCCGGGCCCTGAGCACTGGCCGGTCCCAGGCTCTGAACAGGCTGGGAAACGGGGGCGGAGTCCTGGCATCCCACGGGTGGGGTGTGTGCCAAGGAGGGCATTCGTGTGCGTTGTTGGGGACTGGGCCTGCGTGTGCCCCGCAGGGGGCTGAACCCGCTGAGAGATGAAGGCTGCGTTGGGTACCGACTGCTAACACTTACTAGTGTCTATTACATACCAGCTCCCATTCTAAGCACTTGGATAGATGCCACTTGATTCTCTCTCTTTTTTGCTCTCAGCCACCCTATGAGGAAGAGACTATTCCCACCCGTTTCACAGATGAGAAAACTGAGGCACAGCGAGGCAAGGAGACTTCAATCGAGGTCATGAGGCCAAGAGGTGGCAGGGCTGGTGAGTGAACCCAGGGAGTCCGGCTTCCGAGCAGAGCTCTCCACCTCTGAGGTCAGGGGTGAGGTGGTGTGGGAGCCTGGGGGACCCCTCAGCTCACCTGAAATCGACTCACATACACACACCCTGGGGCCCCGGAGGATTTAATTAGGACTCGGAGGCTGATTAGCTGCTGATAATTAAGGTTTTGTGTTGCTTGCTCTCTTGGTTTCCCTAATGAAGCAGATGGTGACAGAGGGAGGAGACAGCCCCATGCGGGCCCAGCGCCTGCTGCAGCCGCTGCCTCCAGAGAAGCACAACTTGCCTTTTCCTGGGGCCCAGGGAGCCCTGGAGGCCCGGGACCCCCACACGGAACCCTCAGTGTCATCCTGGGGCAGGTGGGAATGCGGGCAACATACCTGTACTCAAAAATTCTCTGCTCATCTGAAAGTCAAATTTAACAGGTATCTGGTTTTGATTATTTGTTTTCTCAACCTGGGAACCCTAATCATTGTCCACCCAGGCCGGAGCGGAAGCTGGCGCTGGGGGCCTTGTTATGTCAGGGGTCAGCTCTCCAGTCGCAGGTTAGTGAAGTCTGAAGGGAGGGGGGCCCTAGGGGAGGGGAGCGTTCAGGGGCTGAGGCCTGGGGGGTTAGCCAGCCCGCCCGGCAGTATTCGCATTTGAACAACCTGTACAACCACAGGACGCACCAGGTAGCTAGGAGCCCAGCTCATCTCCACTGCTCCCCTGTGACCAAGGCCCGACCTTGTCTCTCCGCCTTCCTGGCATGATCTCAGTCTCCCCATTCCACAGAGGGTCAGAGGTAAAGCCACCAGCTTGACACACAGCAAGACCCAGAAAACCCACCGCCTCGTCGACAGCCCTGGCCCCACCCCAAACCCCACAGTCCAGGCTGGCCCCTGGCTGGTGGCCAGCGCCCAAAGATGCCAGGGAGGGACCGACCGACCGTGCGATTGTGGGGCTGCGGCTCCACGGCGTGGATAGGCCGGTTCAGGCTGGGCCGGCCTATGTACACGTCCAGCGTCTGCGGAAAGGCTTTTAGTAGCTTCAGCAGCGCCCTTGCGTTGACATAGTTGTCATCATCCACGTGGCAGAACCACCTGTGGGGATGGGAGGGGGACAACAAGCTTGGAGGGGGCTTCCCAAGGGCTGCAGCTGCTGTGCCCCCATAATCTATAATAATCTAGATAATAAAAGCATAATATGCAAATCAACCGAACGGCCAAAGAGCAGACAACCATCCAGACGACCACGCTATGACGCCCACTGCCACCAGGCCAGCCAAGGCAGGTGCGATGCGATTGGCCGGGGGCCCCGCCATTGCCCCATGATCGCCCCAAAGAGAGAGGCCCAGCCCATGAACCAGCAGGCTGGGGCAGGTGGGCGGAGCCTCCCTCTGCAGGGGCGGGAGGTAGGAGGGGGCAATCCATCCCAGAGCCCTGGCCGGGTGGGCAGGGCCTATCTCTTTGGGGCAATGGATCGCAGACCCCCGTGATCAATTGCCCCAAAAAGGGAGGCCCTGGCTACCCTGCAGCGGTGCTGTGGTGGGTGGGCAGGGCCTCCCTCTGTGGGGCAATGGATGAGAGAGGGGGCTCCCAGACTGTGAGAGGGTGCAAGCCAGGCTGAGGGACACACCTCCCCCCGCCCCGCCCGCACGAATTTCGTGCACCAGGCCTCTAGTCAATCAATAAACAGTTACCGGGTGGGGGTGGCTCTGTGCCAGGCAGCATCTGTGTAAGCTCCTGAAGAAGATCTGCCCATTTAACCAGTGGGGACTAAGACTCAGAAAGGTTAAGACACTTCCCCAGGTCACACAGCCAGTGAATGGCAGGATTTGAACCTGGACAGTCTGCCCAAAAACAGACCACAGGAGGTCTTACATGACGAAATTCACAGGACCCAGGCGACGTCACTGTTTTGGCACAACACCCCGTTCAGGAAGTGGCCTGAGGCGAAGGTGACACCTGCCCTCAGAGACCCAGACGCACTCACCGCAGTCCACTGGCCAGGAAGGCGTCCAGCTCAGCAGCCATCTTGCAGGACAGGGCTGGGTGGCTGTGCTCCGCAGAGCAGTTGGTGACCACTAGGTGGGGCCCTGGAGAAGGGAGGACAAGTGTGAGGCCCCTGCCCGCCTCCTCCACACAGCTCTGCACACAGACCCCGTGACAGGGCAGAGCAAGGCCAGTCCACCACTCCCCTTTCACACACGGGGAAACTGAGGCCAGGGAGGGCTGCCCTGCCCAGGACCCCAAAGCTGATGGACTTGTCCAGCACAGCCCCTCCCCATACCCACACCCATTTTTGGGGAAGAAGCTTGCTCTGCTCTGGGGCCAAGGGGAATCCCCACAGGCCAAGAGTAGGCAGCCCTGCTTTCCGGGGACTCCCAGGCCAGGGGCAGCCACCCCCCAGGCCGGGCGGTTACCCAGTCTCTCCTGGAGGCTTTCATCCCGGCTGTCAGTGAAGACGAACGTCTGGGAAGAAGAAGGAAGAGTCAGGATGGGGCTCCGCCAAGGGTAGTGGGAGGCGGGGAGGGTGCCCGCAGCCCGATGGTCCACCCGGCCAGGTAGATACACACAGCAGACCCGCTGCTCCTTCAGGGAGGGGCACACACCCTTGCCAGTCACACTCCCTTAGGACAACCTGACCTCAGCGACACCCCCATGCTACACACACACACACACACACACACAACTGTGGGGGCTAAAGAAATAGTAATACTTTCCCTCCCACCTTCTACCTTCCTCTAGCTGGGCTAGTAACCAAATTAACAGAGAAAATCATAGTTTTAATACAGGTGCATGGGGAATCCACAGAACCATGAGAGTTCCAAACACAGTGGGGCAGCACCGGGCGGATAAGACATTTTGGATAAAGGAGAAGGGGAGGCATTGGATTTCAGGAGTGAGAAAGGGCCATTTGCAGGTAATTCAGGGAGAGCAGAGCACCCCTGGCCGGAAAATCCTGCAGCTCAACAGCAGCGGGAGGCAGGAGGTGTCGGGGAACTGTGAAGTGATTGAGCCAAGGCCCCCGGCCGAAGGCAGGCAGGAAAGGGGGAGGGGCAAGGCCCCTCTGGGTCTGCTTCTTCATCAACAGCCGCAAATCCCTGTCCCAGAGAGCAGCCACGGGGTGGCAACACTTCGGTTCCCTCCACAAGCCACCTTCTGCAGACACGCAACTTCACTGTGTGCACCCACCCATCCCTCCCACTCACGCGGCCCTTCACAGGCCAGCACCCACAGGGACCCTGTCAGTCACACGCCCCTGGCAGAATCACACACTCACATACACACACACACATACACACTCACACACACACTCACACACACACACTCACACACACACGCACACACTCACACACACACTCACGCACTCACACACACACAAACACACACTTACACACACACTCACACGCACACTCGCACACACTCACACACACTCACACACACACGCACACACTCACACACACACTCACGCACTCACACACACACAAACACACACTTACACACACACTCACACGCACACTCGCACACACTCACACACACTCACACACACACGCACACACTCACACACACACTCACGCACTCACACACACACAAACACACACTTACACACACACTCACACGCACACTCGCACACACTCACACACACTCACACACACACGCACACACTCACACACACACTCACGCACTCACACACACACAAACACACACTTACACACACACTCACACGCACACTCGCACACACTCACACACACACACACACACAAACACAACACAGAGTCCCACCTGGCTCCTTCTCAGTCACATATACACAACCCTAAACAGCGTCAGGAGACAGACTGCGGGAAAAGACCCCCAAGCTGGGCTACTGTGTCACTTGGGGAGCAGCCCCAGCTTCACAGCCACGCAAAACCCCTGTGGAGTGTGGGGACGCCACGAATCTCAGAAACCCTGCCCCCTGCCCCCAGGCAGCTCTCCCAGGTGGACAGGCCCCCCACCAGGAACTTTCACACTCCTGGTCCCGACTAAACATGGAGACGGGTGTTCCGTCTGTCCCCCCCGCACAGATGGCAAAACGGAGGCGACGTAATGGACCAAGGCGTGTGGCAGTTGGCAAGTGCAGCCAGGATTCAAACCCACAGGCCTGGGGCCACTCCCTACTCCCAAATCCCAGCTACCCCCGGGGGGGGGGGGGGCGGGGGGAGGCACCTCAGGCCCAGAGCCTCGAGCCTGAGCTCTGAGCTCCCCGGATCTGTACTTTCTCCTGGTCTCCCCATCACTCTGAGATCAACACCTTGGGGTCACTGTGCCTCCTCTCTTTCTCTCACACCCTCCCCCCAATCCAGTCTGTCAGCTAACCTTTAACCTTTAAGTGACCCGAGATGCAACTTCTCCCCACCAGCCTCACAGCCCAGGCCTCACTGCGGTCCAGCCCACCCTCCCTGTCACCTCCTGCCTGCTTTCCGCGTCACCTTTCGCCCAGGCTCCCTGCTCCTCCTGCCCCAACCCCATGTCTGTTTTCAACACAACCCCCGAGGGAGCCAGTAGATCAGCCAGCCCTTTCCCCCTGCTCCCTGGCGAACTTTTGCCACCAGATAGTGGAACTCTCCTAGAGTGTGGAGCTGGAGCCAAATGGGCCAGGGAATGTGTGTGGAGGGCCAGGAAGCGGGAATGAAAGGAGGGGTCCCACCGCAGGGCCTGGGGGCTGGGCAGGCACATGGGAACCCTGACGCTGGCACAGGGCAGCGGGCACTGTCCTCTGAGCAAGGGTTGCATTTGATTTGTTTAAAGAGGGGACCCTGACAGTGGCTAAAATCTCGCAGGAAAACAAAGG